GTTCCTACTTAAATAGCTTTCAAGTAACTTAAAAAAATGTTACCAGAAAATCCCAAATTTCATAATTTAAAGAGAAGGTATTTATGATCAACCTTGTCAAACGCTTTAGAAAAATCATTATATATCACACCTATTTGACCTTGTACATCCAAAACATCTGAAATATATTAAGTTGTTACAGCTAAGTTTGATACAGTAGAGCGTTTATCTATAAAGCCATGTTGATAAAGGTGATATCCATCTCCTAACAGAAAGGTAAATACGATTATATAGAGTTACTTCGAAAACCTTTGAAAAATTGGATAACAAAAATACCGGTCTGTAATTGGATACATAAGATTTCGTTCCGTTTTTGAATACAGGGCATATTTTTGCATTTTTCCACAATTCGGGATAAGTTCCGGGTTTTATTGATAAGTTAAAAATTTTTTGAAGTGACTTTACAAATACCCGAGAACAATATTTCACTAAAAATGCTGGAATATTATCCGGTCCGGACGTCATTTTGTTTTTAATTCTTTTAAATGCTACTAAAATTTCGTTTTCTTGAAATTCGTTAAAATTAATAGTGGGTAAAAAAAAGCCTGGATTATATCGCGAGGATTATTAAATGTATCGTCGTTTTAAAACATTTCACCTGGGATTCTAGAAGTTTTATTCTTTGCATGAACATATGCCCAGAAATTATTAGATTCGTTAGAAATACTATTCTAAATTTTTTCAAGATAAACGTTATATTCAGTTTTAATCATTTGTTTTATTATATTTTGCAACCTTTTAAATTCATGCATATAAAGTATATTTCCTGTTTTCTTGTAATTTGTGATATTTTTTGATTTCAACTTTATCATTCTAATTATTTCCGCATTGTACCATGTAGGATATTGATATTAATAATTTCTGTATATTGGCACACATATACCAAATAATATATATATCTTAGCATAAAATAATTCTAGAACTGTATTTACATCATTAGACATATCTAAAAAATTCCAGTTGCAATTAAGAAATTCTGAGTACAGTAAAGGAGAATTTGCTTTTTTAAAATTATATCTTTTAGTTTCAGAATTAGGCACAAAACTGGTTTCCTTTTTCTGAAAATTATTATTATTTATCATTAATGCTGGATGATGTAAATCTTCTTGAACAAATGGTGCATTATCGCGATTTCATGACACAGATCTGATGATATAACTAAGTCTAACAATCAATTTAAATTATTTCCCACCTGATTATACTGATTTAAATTAAACAAACACATAAAATCATTTAACACTGCCGATGTCTTCACATTAGACCTATTTTGATCAATATGCTTTGGAATGTCAAAGTCACCCAGGAGAATAACAGTGTCATTAAATAAAATTCAAGTTGCTCTAACATTTCAAAAACATATTCAAAATCATTTAACTTTAATTTGTCAGAAATATACAATACTGCAACATAAAACTTTTTATTTCCTGTGCTACACTTAACAACCAACAAATCAACTAGTGGAAAATGTAAATCAAATGTTGATACATCAATAACAACACACTTAAAATTTGACTTAAGTGCCAACAGTACACCTCCACCAGTCGATTTATTAACTACATCGAACTTTTGGTCTTTTCTGAAAACCTAATAGTCATTATTAAACAATTCCGAACTAATAACATCAGAGTTGATCCAAGTCTCAGTTAAAGCAACGACATCAAATTCACATTCACTAACACTAGAGTAAAAATCAATTACTTTGGAATTCAAACCACGCACATTCTGATAGTAAACCTGAAGATCTTGGCTTGTGGATGTGTTGGGACCTATCTATTTAAAGGAACAATTTTTGGGATACCGTCCAAGTATTTAATTCTAAATTGTCCTGTATTGTTAGCGTTCTTAGCTTCTAATTCTTCCTTTAATAGGTAACTTGCATAAAATTTTAAATTCGAAAAAAAGGCCTTAAATCATAACAAAACATAATTTAAAATATATATCAAACAAAAAAAAGTTGTTTTTGTCTTTAGTTTGGCCCCTAAAAACGAATAAAATCGAGAGAAAATTCAAATTATAGCAGCCAGTCCAAAACGGGTCCTCATTGGTCGTGACGTCATATAGTCAGAATGTTCAAAGATTGGCACTATTAATTCATTACGTTTGACATTCGTTTACTTGTTATAGTAATTTTATGGTGTATTTCAGTTTTATAAATCTTTAGATAGTTGCTGTGAACCATATATTTAATAATATTTGAGTGTTTTTGTTCAGATATATTTTTTAAAATCACCGAAGAGGGTTTTTCCAAAGGTCAGTCTGATAACTTCATCATCATCATCATTGGCTTTTACAACTCTTCGTGAGTTTTTGCCGCGTTTACTATTGCCTTTTATGTATCTTACGATGTATCTTACGATGTTTCCTTTCCCGAAGAGAGTCTCTATTTCATTGTTGTATCTGCTCCTCCATTCATTTGTCACGCTGTCCCTGCAAGGACCATATATAATTCGCAGGATTTTGCGTTCATATACTAATAGCTTATTGATTTCTTTCTTTCTCAATGTCCATGTTTCACTTCCATATGTCACTGTTATGGTTTTGTACGTTTGGATTTTGGCACGCCTTGAGAGAAGCTTTGACCTCATTAGATGTTGAATGGCAAAGAATGATTTATTCCCCGCCAGTATTCGTATTTCAACCTCCCGTTCTCCTGTGTTTTCACTGGTAATTGTTGCTCCTAGGTAGTTGAATTCTTTGACCACCTCAAAATTATGATCGTTTATGGTAATGTTTTGTCTTATTCGCGTCTTTTTTTATACGACCATGTATTTAGTTTTTTCTTCGTTTATTTTCAGGCCTACGCTTAATGTTGCTTCTTCAAAGTTCGATACTATATCCTTTACTTTCAGTGTTGTCTGTGCTACTGCATCTACATCATCTGCAAAGGCGAGAATAATCTTTGCTCCCCTGGCAGTTATGTCTGGTTTGACTCTGGTATAGATTTTTCGCATTGCGTATTCCAATGCTAGGTTAAATAGTAATGGGTCTCCCTGTCTGAGCCCGGTGCTTATGCCGAAAGCCTTTGAAGATAACTTGACAATTGTAAATATGTTTATGGTAGCCACATATTTTCAAAACGGTGTAAATTTTTCCCTGGGAGAAGTTCGGGGAGTTAAAGCAGATAAGTAAGTACATATACTCCTATTACATTAATTTTATTGTGATTATTATTCTCATAATAAGTATTTAATGTACCAACACAAAAGACCCAGAGGCAGACCTCCTATGAAATGGACAGATGATCTGAAAAGGACTGCCGGGAAAAATTGGCTACAAGTAGCGTACAATAAAAAACAATGGAAAGGAAGACTTGAAGAGGCTTATGTTCAGATGTGGACGTGAATGGCTAGACGAAGAAGAAGAAGAAGTATTTAATGATAAAACTTAGTACTTTATATTAAGTAGTGTCAATATTATATGTTTATGCTATTGTACTGAAATTTAATCAAATTAACTTATTCATCGTTTGCATTTAGATCTGGCAGAGAATCATATGGAGATGCAGCTGTAAGATGGGTTCAAGTAAAAAGAAATAACATGATCTGTACTGTACTGGTAATCTAATAAATATTTTGTTGATGGTTTTAATGGTTGTACTTTTACACAATGGTACTAAACAACCCTTGTAGTATTTACTTTTACTTTCCATAATAAAAACACATACAATTCAACACTCTCTATTCAAAAACTGTATCAAATACCAATATAAACAAAATAGTTTATACTTTTATACAAGGCAGGAGACCTGACATACAGACAATACCACCAAGTGACGTCACAAGGGTTCGCGCGCTTTTTCGATCGTTTGAAATGATTTTTATACACGGAAGATTTTAAATTTGTATTACTAAGTCATTATGAGTTTTTGGGGCGTGAAATTTTGGAAATCTTATTTTTAAATGTAACTGGACGTTATTGTATAATAAAAAAAAAATGTGCAAGTTCCCTATTGTTTGTAGTATGCAATTTCTGTCACATGAAATTGACACATGGCTGTAGATACCAGTTTTTAGAACCTTGGATTGTCTGATTAATGCTGAGACGTCACTTTCATCCTTAAGTGTAATCTTGATCGGACGATTTTTTCGATCCGAAAATCGAAAAAACAAACGCACATAGAACAAACAGTATAGACACCAACTATATATACAATGACAATGACCGCCAACGACAAACAAATCGCAATTAGTCCATAGCGTACGGACAAACTTCGTTTAGTTCGTCTACCGTCAATGGACATACAGCACATAGAAAGTCCAAGGTATTTTTTTCATTTAATTTGCAGACAACAGAATGCATTTAGAACATCTTTCGTGACACAAAATGGTGGCTCTATACAGCTCTATATAGTTTGCAATGCCATCTTTGGTTGAAAATTTGAAAAAATGCATATAGAAAGTCTGCTCCTCATATTCTTCAAGACCAGGTGTATTGTCGCAAGACCAAGACCAAGACTGTCTAAGTCTCGTCTTGTTTTCGCATTTGGGCAACACTAAGTATAAGTTGCTTACATTGTTGGTATCTGTCTTTTTGTTAATGGTTTCTTTTTCTTGAAAAATAAAAGCCATCTCGAAAAACAATCTTTTTGAATAAATGCTCTCCGTTGATATAATTTTTACATTCGGAAAATCTGAAGAGTGCCCTGTTGTGTTAGTATGTGTGACTAGGGAACGTCTATCAGTGTTCTTGAACTTTGGGAGGTGTTCTTATATAGGTCAGATCTTTGACAAGTTTTTTCAAAATTTGTCATAATACTTCTAGTTATCATATATACTTTCTCAAATTTTTTCAAATTTTTTAAATCTGTAGTTTGTCTTTTGGGGGGTGGGGGTGCAGATCAACCTTATACTTTCTCTCTCACCTTTGACATTTTTCCCGCTATAATTATTTGCGTACCTTAGCCACCGTATTCCTTGCATTTTTAAAAAATATATAAATAAATATTGTGTTATTTGCTTTAGGGATTGAAAACAACAAAACTTCGTCAGTAACAGTTTCAGCAAACTCAAAAAAAGGCCTCAAGAACTTCGAACCACAGGTAGGTGTTCCTTTGGCAAGATTAGAACGAATTTGGGCGTATTTAACAGTAAAACAATTGGCCGATCAATATTATACAACAAAAAACAGGACTCTTGCCGAAATTGGATTAGAAATAGCTATGAACCATTCATTGGTAACCGATTTTACTTCTTTGGTTGTTGTTAAATCAGGCACACCTAATGAAACCGTAGATATGGAAGATGCTTATAGTGGGATATTTCCAAAAAAACCCAATGAATTACCAATGTGCAAAAATATAACAAGTACGTATTTAGCCAATATAGTGATCAATAAGGTAATAACCATCTTTGCTTAATATTTCATTACTTAATACAGGTCCAACATAACTAACTGAAAATTACAATTTTTTTTCGAATACTTCTTTCAGATTTTTTTGATCTATGACCTTAGATGAATAGGGCATGTAATTAGGTGAGATTAAGGTGCAATAGTCAGAAAAGTTTTTGACCAAAGACGACAAAAGTGAATGGAGGATTGTTTTGAAGAAGGATTTGGCTCACAACGAGCTGTGGTGCCACTGATGATGATATTTTTTGCTTTCATCTAGTGAACTATTTTTAAATATGCGATATTAGTCGTCTGGGAAGAAAATAACACAACACAAAGCATTTTGTTGTCGAAATAGACTTAAAACTAAAATAATTTAAATTAATTACTATTTAAATAGAAATAAGCCACAATTAAAGGTTAAAGTATGTTTATTAACGTTTCAATTTCCACTTCGGAAATTGTTCTCAAAATACAAACATTAGTAAATTTAACAAATTTTGTTTTTTTTTTGTAACTTAGTGAAAAATTCTTTTAATAATTTAATTTTATCTGACTCATTTATATTGACAATTCAGACATACATATTATTATATATATGTATATATGTATATATATATATATATATATATATATATATATATCCATTTCAAAGTAGACGACATTAAAATGATACTGCCAATATTGTTGAGTTGCGCTCCTGGGACGACTTTACTTATAAGATAGTTCATTCGATTACATGAAATCAACTTTAGCTTGAGAATATCCGTCAGAAAACGTCATAGCATGTAATTCGTCTTTAAAAAGACAAACACATGTCATGATTACAGTAAAATTCTCCTGTTAGTGATTCCATGGTAAATTATGAGTTATTGTTTAATATTATTTGGTTACAGCACAAATTTCCTGAAAAATAGCATGAATCCACAGTTATACCTATACAAAAACCTAATGGTATTAAAACAAGTTCCGAGTCATACCCACCGATATCTTTAACATGCGGCATGTGTAAGTTACTAGAAAAAATTATTAATTAGAGACTAAGATGGCACCTGGAGAGACAAGATTTAGTTATTTCAGAACAAAGTGGTTTTAGAGAGCAAAGGTCAACGATAAATAACATCATAGATTTGGAAAGTAACATTTCTAAATCATTCGCACTAAGGAATAAATGTCTAGCGGTTTTCTTTGACATATCAAGAGCTTTCGATACAGCCTGGCACGATTATATAATAAAAAATTACTCAGTTGGAATATTGAAGGTCACTGTTTCTTCTTTATTAAAAACTTTCTTCAAAATAGAGCTTTCCGAGTTAGGACCATCAAAACATTAGATATAATGGATTGTAGTTCGTTGCAAAGGTAAAAATATACAAAATATATTTTGTCACACACAGAACTTTATACAACATATCCTGTTTTCTAAGAAAAATGTCACAAACACTCCTACCTAAGACTATGTGATGAGAACATAAAACGTGTAACGTCAATAAAATTCTTGGGCATGACATTCGAAGAAACTCTAAGCTGGAAACTTCATATAACAAATTTGATCTTATCTTGTTACAAGCGATTAAATCTTCTTAAAACTCTGGTCAATAAAGAATGGGACACTTTTAATGTTATAGAGAACATTAATCAGATCAAAATTAGATTATGGATCTACTGTGTATTCTACATCCACTAAGACACTGCTAAAAAAACTTGACAGTCTTCACAACCTATCTTTACGTATAATATCTTTTTGCACAACACCAATCGAAAGTATTTATTGTGAAGTTAGTGAACCGTCCTTAGAAGACAGAAGACTTTATTTAAGTGTAGCATATGCCGCAAAAATCAGGTCTAACCCAAAAAACCCCACTATTAACAATTGTTTTACAGAAAAGTTCCCAAATATCTTCATAAATAAGCCCAGAACTGCCAAACCTTTCTACGCACGGATTAGAAGCTATTTAAATCAATTGAACTACACGTTCCCAGAATGTGTTTCCTCCCATTCATCCTTAATTCCTCCATGGCAAATAAAGAACCCTCAGTGTCTAACCCACCTCATTTCTTTTGACAAACATTCTACAAACCCACAGTTAATTTAATCCGCCTTCAACGATATGCTTCACAACTAAAAGGATTATATACATATATACACAGATGCATGTAAATCAAATGAAGGTACCGGTGATGCAATCATAACCCCAACATCGACAAATAAATACAAACTCCCTTCAGAGTACTCCATTTACTCTGCTGAACTGTTTGCTCTATACCAGGCCAGCCTTGCTGTCAACGCATCCAATAATACAAATTATATTATACTCACAGACTCTCTAAATTCCGTCCAGTCAATCCAATATTTCTACCCAACTAATCCTTTAGTCATCAAGATAAAAGAAGAAATCCATACTGCTCAAATGAATGGAAAAAACATTATATTATTTTGGATACCATCCCATATTGGAATCCCAGGAAATGAAGAGGCAGACAACGCTGCAAAGGAAGCTGCAAGTAGTGATAGTGCGAAGTGTACTAAAACATTTACGAGTGCGGACGTGATGCTGGCAATAAAATTTAAAGTGCAATATATGTGGGGAGCAAAGTGTCATCGGCCAAGCTACGTGATGTAAAAAAATCGATTAAACCCTGGCCCACATTACCAACAAGTCGGAGAGAACAGGTAACGCGACTTCGACTGGGTCATACGCGACTAACGAACAGCTACGTGTTCTCCAACAAATAAGAACCAAGATGTAACAACTGCGATGAAAAATTAACGAACAAACATATATTAGAGAATAATATCCAGTATTAACGTCAAAGAGCATGTTGTACAGTATACCCAACAAACTAAGTGATATTTTAGGTCTACAGTGCAATATTTCAAACATAAAAAGTTTCTTAACCTCAATTAACGTTTTAAATGCTATCTAAACTAATATTATAAATGTAATACAAATTATTGTTTGCTATCATTGTTTCGCTAATAGCCAATTTGGCTGATGCAATATTTGTTAATAAAAAAAATATTATAGTAAAATCCATAAACTAATTTTCGAAACCAAATTAAACGTGCACGAGGCACTATACGTGAAATTAAATCTTAACTGTCTTTTCCTTTTTATTCCGATTACTCTGAAAGAGTACAAGAAACCAATTCGCTAAGGATTTTTGCTTAGTTGAGGAGATATGAAGTGGAATGCAAATTTTAGATTCCCCATGTCTCTAATAACATCTTTATCAACGTCTGTTTTGCCTTGCAATTCTTAGAAGTTTATTGTTGTTATAAGTTATTATTAGTTATTAGGTTTCGAAAATTAGTTTACGGATTTTAATATCAGATGTCGCTATTTGCGTCCATTCGAAGCCATGTTAGAGTTGCTTCCTAAGACAGAAGAGATTTATTTTCACGTTTAGGGCGACAATGAATTGCCGATCTAACGAAGCCTATTAGGCCGAAATACGTATAAGCGGCTACATTGTCGCACTATACGTGGAATTAAATCTTAACTGTCTTTTCCTTAATATTATAGTAATTCATTGGAAATATACCTATAATGTGAAAAATAAATCATCGAAATCCAATTAAGGGTTCAAAAGAAATATAGTTTCAAAATCATGGTCCATTTTAGGTTGTGCGTTAATTTTGGAAGGTAGTATATAAATACGTATTTTCAGGAATTTGCACTCTGCCTAAGGATAGCAGAAATTGCGGCAGTTTTACTGTTAACTGGTTTTATAGTACACTTAAACATCAATGTGAACAGTTTCAATATGGGGGTTGTGGCGGAACCGATAATAGATTTGAAAGTAAGCAAGCATGTGAAGAAACTTGCGTGAATCCAACGGGTCCAGGTAAAGCACTGTATAATTTTTAACTCAAGTTTTTTTTTATTTAAATGTTTTAATTCTAGAGAGATGTAAGCTCCCAATTTCTTTGGGCACGTGTAACAAAGGATTACGACAATGGTTTTACGACCACACCAAACATACATGTGTACAATACGTGTACGGTGGTTGTCTTGGCAATTCCAATAGGTTTAATACAAGAGACGAGTGTTTAAAATTATGTAATCCGAATATGTTAAATGAAACTAGAAACGTTAGCCCGACTTTTAAGAAAAAATGTATTAAAGTGACATCTACGAAATTGAGGATATATAATATTTGTTTATCCTAGTACCATTTTCATTTATGGATTAATAAATTTTCTTTTATATTTTGATCATGTTTTTTTACTTAAATATTTAGCAAAAAACTAAAGAGGTTTATACATACCTCAAAATACTCTTGCACCTAACCGAAGTAGCCTAACCAAGTCAACAAAAACACTTAATTGAGGTCAAGAAGCAATAATATATAATGTAAAAAATGTGATTTGTGGTACCTGATTTTCTGTGTTTTTAGACTCCTAGACTTTTTTCTGTAAGTAGTATTTTCGGGATCGTACCTACGTCCCTGATTGGTTGTCTTCAGCAACTAATTGGCTAGGTCCCGATTGGATTGTCAAGCAATTGGTATTTTCTCTTTTCACCCTCTGTATTCGGTAAAATAAGAATCATCCTGAAATACATCCTTAAATACTTCACACTCAAGAGAGCGGCGTCAAGACAAACAAAAATTAAAGTCTAAGGACTAAATACGGAATCCACGGAATACTTATACAGAAAAAGAGAGAGAAATACCAGAGAAGATCGCTGGGAATAAAATATAATAAAACAATAAAGCTGGGAAAAACTCAAAAATAACACAATTAATGCAGCAACAGAATCGCTTGAAGAGAAGAAAGTAACGAACACTAATATATCAAAAAAGAAAACACCACTATCAACGAATCAGAAATGAAACGAATATTTTAGTTAGACAGATAAAAAGCGAACACTAGCAGCGCTTCTCAAAACAGATGGAACACGACTTCTACGGAACAAAAAAAAGAGATATGGAAAATGATCAAAGAAAAAAGTAAAAAAATTAACTAACCAGTAAAAACGAAACACATTTAGAAGAAAACATGGACAGACTACTTTCGATCTATATTTGCTTAAGTTATTGATAATGAACCACCAACACCAGACCAACCACCAACACCATTAAAACCAGGAAAGGCAAATAATTAGCCTCAAAACTAGCGTCCGATTGCTTTGCTGAGCTGTGTTTATAAACTGTTGGAACGCTTAATCTACAACAGAATTAGTAGAAACGTATTTGAATTAATAACTATTGAGCAAGCAGGATTCAGACCTAACCGCAGCTGCACAGATCAGATCCTATCCTTAACAACACATATTGAAGCTGGTTTTCAAAGAAAATAAAAAACATCCGTTGCTTTCATTGACCTATCAGCTGCATACGATACTGTCTGGAGACAAGGACTAATCTGCAAACTAATCCGTGCCGTCCCGTGTCAAAAGGTAACTAAATTTATTGATAACATGCTCACCGACAGACCTTTTCAAGTCACAATGAACAATTCTAAAAGTTTCCAAATGAAGCTCAGCAATGGACTGCCACAGAGATCTGTTTTGGCACCTTTACTGTTGAATTTATATATCGCGGACCTACCTAGGACAACTTTGCAGAAATTTGGCTACGCTGACGATTGGGCCATTGCAGCAAGACCTAATAACATGGATATCACAGAAACAATATTAGCGGATGACCTTGCCATTATGGGAGAATACTTTCGCAAATGGAGGCTACGGCCTAATGCAACGAAAACCGAAGTGTGCTGTTTCCATCTGAATAATGCCCAAGCCAACAAAAAACTCTCCGTCCACTTCGAAAACAGACTGATCACTCATAACTCAACACCAAAATATCTTGGAGTGACTCTGGACAGAACATTGAGTTTTAAAGAACATCTTCAAAGAGCGACAGCAAAGCTGAAAACAAGAAATAATATAGTCCAAAAGCTATGTGGCACTACATGGGGGTCCTCAGCCTCCGTACTCAGATCATCCGCTCTCGGACTTGTATAATCGGTGGCTGAATATGCTTCCCCGGTATGGCTCAATAGCAAACACATAAAGATTATTAACACTCAATTAAACCAGACAATGTGAATGATCTCAGGTACAATTAGACCCACACCGAACTATTGGTTTCCCATTCTGAGTCACATTCCACCGCCGAAACTGCGAAGAAGTCATTCTCTTCTCGGAGAATATCGAAAAATTGAGGCTAACCATCAACTACCCATCCACCAAGATAAGCTTGATATCGAAATAAACAGACGGCGCTCCTGATATCCTTTATTGCTAAGAGCCAACTCCTTACATCAGGAACATTTCAACCTGACCAAAGCTTGGAGAACACAATGGGAGAGCGACTCACCACAGGAAGCCCATCAAATGGCCTGTATCGATCAGAAACCGCCAGGCTTTGAACTGACCCGCAATACATGGACAACGCTAAACAGAATAAGAACAAGCAGCGGTAGATGTGCTGACAGCTTATATAGATGGAGAAAAGCCCTTACTTCTGAGTGTGACCGTGGTGCGCAACGACAGACCGTCCGTCACATTGTTGAAGAATGTCCCCGAAGGCGATTCCCTGAAGTTTTCGATGAGTTCCTGAATGCAACCGAAAATGTTTTACATTATATTAATAATACATTAGATGTTCGTAATAATACTTGATGTAACGTTTTGTATTGATTTTTTAATTTTGTATTTTTTATCGGCACTGGTAGAAATGATATCCCGAAATGATAATTATAAAAATATAATATAATATATGGGGTTTCTACCATGCGATTTAAACCTTAATAAATAAGGTTTTAGAGTTGTAAATCCATAGGGTACTTTTTTGCTGGTTGGAACAGGGGGTAACGGTGATTTAAATCGTATTAAATGCTGAGAAATTAGAATGGCAGAATATAGGGAATAATGATAACGTTTAACCTGGTACAATCTACTTGCAATATGAGAACACTTTAGGTTAACAGTTCAAATGTTATTCAAAAACACTTACATGGTTTCCTATGATCGTAGTGTAGTTTTTCTTGCTTCGAGAGAGCTCTCTTGGCGTATTAGGTACAGGTGGTTTCCAATCTATGTTTCCAGTTCCAGTTCCAGGTCACTGTATTCGTTTTAAAAGTCACAAAATGTCTGTTTATTACCGTAAACTGTTCCAGGCTTAGGATTGTTAGCATGAAACTAGAGGAATTTACTTCGAGCGAGTAGATATGTTTTTTAGAGAATAATTTAGTATATAGAAAATTTCGTGGTAATCGAGCGACCACGTCAGAATGTGTCTAATGTGTAAGACTCTCTCTTGGAATGTGTCTGTGAAGTGAAGTCCCCGAACTCGTTGACTGATAATGATAGCTTAGGCCTGTGTGACAGGACCGTAATAAAATAATTTTTAATTATGGCTTGTACAATAATATTGTACATTCTTATTGTATGCTATAAGATAAATAAATAAACCAACGCCAGAGGTGATAACTAACGTAGAAATAAATTTTGAGGAGGAAGAGGTGAACATACTCCTAAAATACGGAGGACCAGATCGGACCAAACAACTATTATAACTAATCCAAAAAATAGAAGAACAAAACAGAATTCCTCAAGAAAGGAGATCAAGCATCATTATACCTCTCTTCAAAAAGGGAAACAAATCGGACCCGGAAAACTACAGAGGATTAAATTTATTAAATACAACACCAACCAAAGTAATAACAATTAAACTGAATAAAATTATAACACTAGCAGAAGAACAACAAGGTTTTAGGCCGAAAAGATCATGCACCGAAGCATATCATATCGATCAACAAACCGGCATATATATATTTCGTAGACCTTAAAAAGGCATTTCACTGGGTCAAATTAAAGGACGTTATTCACTTATTGCACGCAAGAGAGATACCTCTAGGAATAACCAAAACGATCGAAAATATCTACCAAAACAACACAATAAAACTAAAAGTGGAAGAAGAACTAACCGACCCTACTGAAGCTGACAATGGTATAAAACAGGAAGATTTCCTGTTTCCTGATTCCTTGTTAAACCGTATTATGGAGAAATAATAAAAATAGTAAGAATAAAAAAAGGATACCAAATGGAAGAAAAACAACTTAAAATAATCTGCTACTACCCTCTGAAAGTAAAGACGATTTACAACGTATGCTGCACAAATTTAATACAACCGTCAGAAAATTTGGAAAAATGGTACAACCAAATACATGGTTAGAAAAAAAATTTACTAAGATGTAAATTGGAGCTGAAAGGTCAGATAATAGAACAAGTGATAGAGTTTAAATATCTAGGCATCACATTATCTAGCTACGGAAAGCTCGTAACAGAATTAAAATATCAGGTGAATAGAACAAACAGAGGCGCAGACTACCTGAATAAAACAATATGGAAAAATAAAAATATCGAGAAAGAAATGAAAAGCAGAATTAATAAAATAGTCATCAGACCAATAATGACATACGCGGCGGAAACACGACTTGATACACAGGATAAAAAGGATGTTAGAAATAGCAGAAAACACTTAGAAAAATTAGTGGCAAGACACTATGGGACAGTGCTAGAAGTACTGATGTAGTGATATTTTTGACGTAGATGCAAGGTGGAGAACATCGAGAACTGAGTCAGAAGTAAAAGAGTAGAATGTATCGATCATATAAGCTGAATGACAACAAATAAAGTAGTAAAGATGGCAAGAGACGGTTCCCCAATAGAAAGACGATCAGTAGAAAGACACAAAAAGGATGGAACGACAAGCTACTGGAGGCACATTGAAAAACAGACAGAGTCATGTTTACAAAAAAAAAAAAGAAGAAGAAGAACAGTACTCGGTTTCTGTTAAGGATGTTTCTGAAGTTAAGGAGTCTGCTTATAGCTTGGTGACCTCTTTTTAGCCATCTCCCTCAGTGGAGGCTTTCTCATATGGTTGCATTAGATATTATGCCTACTATATCGATCCGTCGATTAATCTAGAATATGTCGTTTCTGTACTCCACAATTTCTTTAAGTTCTATTCTACAAAACTCCAAATTGGCACTGCATACATCCTCAAGTAACGTAGGCCTGGTATAATTGGATTTTCTGGGTCCTCCTTAGAATCATAATCATCTTTGGCTCGACAGTTCCCTATGGATCCTGGTCTGCTCCAAGTTTAGTCGCTATTCTGTTCGGTTTCTGGCAAAGTGTTGCCATCTTCTGTTCTCT